CAGTCGTGTGAACTCAGTCCACTGCTTCGTGCGGGCCAGACATGGGTAAGACATGGGTTCAGTTCCTGCTCCGTACCTTTCGCCAATCTTGATTCAACATTGATTCATTGAAAGGATTCAGTTCCTGATCGTAATTCACTCGTCAAATGTGAGACACCAGGACTCCTTGACTGAGAGTTTCGACTTTCTCATACTTTCTCCAGTGACTCCTCCGGCAACGGGATCCTTTTCTTCCCACGCCTTCGCCTTGCGGCACCCAGCCGCACTGAGGGGGGGCTCTGAGCATCGGGCCGTATTTCGAGATCCTGGCGGTGGCTCGGGACGCCTGGTGGCGGTTTTGGTTCGGTTGAGATTGGAAGATGGTGGAGACCGGCCACTGAGGCGTTCCCCTCTATGTTTGGTGTGTATCTTTTGACCTGGCGGCTGGGTAGACTGGTCTACTTTCCCTCTTCCAGGCTTCCAGGGGGTGTTTGGGAGTAATCAGGATGCATACTGATGGGTTTGTGAGGTCTTTGTCACTATATTTTAACTACAATTAGTATAAATACATATAAATATTATGCATAGATTAATCCTAATATGTTACACTTAAACATCAAATTCATCCAATCATGATATCAGGACCTTGGGCGGTTTTCCAAAGTTCAACAACATGGCCAGGGCCTGGTTCAGTTCAGCTCCTGAAGGTCTGTTGGGACAGCTTGAAGACGGCCAAAACGATGAACTGCAGTTGCATCCTTTGAAGAAGTACCTCATAGCGCGACGCGCTTTGAATCCGGCAGTGGCACGGCCCATGTTGTCCGGTGCTGAACAAGCACCTCATCCAACCCACGCGCCATCCGTCCGCTGCGCCCGGCCCCGCGCGCGGAGCGCCTCGGTGACTGCTTTTCCAGTGGTGTGTCCGCAGGGCCCTCCACGGCCCTGTCACATCCAACAGCACCGGAACATCGCATCGTCCGGTTCAAAAACCCTTTCCTGCCAGACCCTTCTTGTGCTGTTCCAATCGCATCGTCCTCAAAGAAGGGCTTCAACATCTTGTGCTGTTGGAACAGCCAAACGCAGGATCTGGCGGCCAGGCACATGTTTGTGCCTCCACACGGTGTTCTGTTGACACCATGGCAGGCGACGGTCACGTGGATGAGAAAGTGTGATGCCGGTTCCTGCCCACACGACATGTCCTTGTGCCTATAATGCCTTGTTTGAAAATATTTGAACAGCAACTATAGGCAGCCAGCTGTGTTTCCAGACTGGACACGATCTTCATCAACACTGCCATATTCATCGACCTTCGAACGCGTCAATGTTCGAATCCGAGCGTTCGAATCACTGGTTCACAAGGCAAGGCCTTGATGGACTGAGTTGACCCATGAACCACCAGTTCTTCTTCGTGTTCTTCTTCTATCTTACACCATCAGAGGGCACAGGAACCTGCACAGTTGCTCACAACAAAATCGAGTGTCGTTAGCCCGCAGTGGTGTAGCAGGTAAACCAAGGAATGGAGGACCATTCAGAAACTACTAGCTCCGATTCAGAAACTTGGGTAAACCGAGTGTCATTACCCCCACCCGACCGCAGAACAGGCCCCGGCACGAACACCGGTCGAACACCGCGGCACGGGTGGAGGCAACGCATGGTCCTCCATAGGCAACGCATGGTCCTCCTTCGCGCGGTGTGCGAAGAAGTCCATGTTCCCGCCTCCAAAAGCGTTCCTCCCTGCAGAAAGGGGTAGCGTCAGAGCCAAAGACCAAGACATATGATATATCATCCTCGTAGTCCTCGTGGTCGGTGTTGTTCTTGGAACCTGAAAAAGTCCACTCCCAAAAGCCTGACGCTATTAGCTATTTAGTAGCACTGTTCGATACGAACCGAGCGATCGCACGCTACGATCGGGGCTCCTGGCCTTACTACGAACGGAGCAAGAAGGCTACGTGCATCGGCCGTCATCCATGACGTGATCAGTCGAGGCCTTGGACGATGCGGTGCTGCAGGCCGCAGCTGCCATCACTGACTGCAGTGCTGCTCGGGAGGCCGCTGGGGCGGTCCCGTATCGACGAAGACAACAGGTCGAGGAGCATCAGATACAAAACCTTCAGAGTCAAGTAGTGTATAACTAGGCGTGATAATTGCGTGATATGTGGATGGACTTGTCTGTAAATCAAGTGCAGGCACCATTGCTGCAGGATTTCTAGTACAGGCATTTTGCCTTGTGCTTCAACTATACAGATACCCAAGGCATTTTTAACAGTTTACTCTGATATACTCTGATGCTGGGTAGGGGGATAGTACTTTTGACAATTTTGTCAAATCCATCTGACAATTTTGTGCGGGCCTTTCAATGTGGAGTCATACAATTGAGGCACCAGATGGGCCAGATTCTGTGGCACGAACTGCTTGTGAGCTTTGGGAGATGAGGATCTCTTCAACTCTTGGTCTGTGAGGGTTATATGTTAAACTGTTTATACGTTTCTTTCCTGCCTGAACTGAGTGTGTTATCACGATAGTACAATGACGTGTGTGTATATACATATACAGTATACAGTATATACACATATGATTTGAGCACTGGGCCAGTGCTTGGAAACCAGTGAGACTTCGTCTCTTCTTTTGTGCAGTCCTCCATCGGCACTGAATAGCCCAATAGAGATTGAAGGCCAATGGATGCCAGTCGCGAGGGAATGCTGACCCAACGAGGATGCCAAGATGTATAAGATGTGGCAGCTTTCTTACCGAAGAGAGCTCTTAGTGACTGAACCTCGTCACATGTAGTAATTGCGGATTTCAGGCTATGGTGATCTGTACCTCCCTGACCCTGATCTTGACATGCTTTTGTCTCTGGATTTTATGTTTTGTTTGTTTAATACATTATAGTTGAGTCCAGCTTAAAATTAAACATTACATTGCGAAAAGAGATGCCGTGGGTTGAAACCTCTGAGGTTGGAAAACCGGTATATGGATATGTATATATCATACATATGATGTATACATATATTATATATAACTATAGATACTAAATAGTCGGATGTTCTTCTTGACCGGAGTCCTGGCATCTACGACCATGCACAAATCTGCTCCGTTGACCAGTGGTCATCTGGTGATGAGAAGTCAACACAGGCGACACAGACCCGCGACATCTGAATACATGTCATGATTATAGCGAGGCCTCAACCTAAGAGCGATGGCCTCCAACCTAAGAGCGATGGCCTCCAACC